GTTTGAATAATTTTCTAGAACTTAATAAATAGAAATAAAAGCTGCGTCAAACAAACACATAAACTAGAAACATCATTAATTTACGTGCAAGACGCATTTTAGAGGACAAACATCCACTCTCAATACATATCATAATTTCAGCTAATAAATATTCGACATCGAAATTTCAGCATTTCAAGTAGATATAATTCATAGGGACACCAATCCATTATTCTTGTGGTAGACGTGCATCATTGAATAGCATCTTTTGACAAACGCGAACAATAAAAATGAAAAATAATCAAAGTACTCGCATGATAAAAAGGTGGTCGAATATTTTGGTTAGATGTACTTATAAGTGGCTCTCAACCTAAAAAACTTGTCATTAGGGTAATAAATGGCTCCTAATGAAGATTTATTTCTAGTTACCTAACCCAAAGGAGGTAAAAGTAAAGTCAACCTCTTCAGTGGATCCTCAATTAAATAATTAAATGTGTTACCATTTAGAACAAATTATTTTTTCTATTCTTCTTTATTTATTTTACTAAATCTTTAATTAGACTTTGATTTTTAATTGAAACAATTTTTTGTAAGGAACAACAACTAATTTTGGGGTAAATCGATTTTGAAACTCTATTATCAGATTCTATATATTTAATTTTCACATGTCGGATCTTTCCTCTTTTGAAAGAAGTCAATAAAAAAAAAAATCAAGATATGCACTAATTTAATTAGAATTTTCTAATTTTTTATTCTTAATATTCAAATCAAGAAGTTACAATTGGTCAAATCATACGAAAGAAAAAGGACCACAAATTTTGAACCAATTTCCCTTTTTCGGCTAGAGTGATGACTTGTTGGCATTTTCTTTAAAAGTTGAATTAAATTCTTGAGTCTATTTCAACTTTAATTAGTTTATCGAATTTGGTTCGCATCAATTTGATTGAATTCTGCTATTCATTTTATTATCGCCCTCTATTTCCCGTCATAAAAGTCGTTTAATAAAAATAGAAATTCAAATTAAATCATCTAAGATAGTCACAGTTTGATCGTTCTTTAATTCAATACAAAATGTCCTGTGAATCGATCAGTCTTAAACGCAATCCTTCTAGAAAGATAATCTCGAAATCAATTAAACTCGACCCAACAAATTAAATGGGCGATAAACCAAGATAACAAACCCTAGAGAGAGAGAGAGAGAGCAAGTGGTGTTGAATGTTGGGGTCCACGTGACCAGCGACAAGCCCGTGTTAACAAGGCCTCGTATGAGCCGTCTTTACCCTCTGTATCTATATGTTTCTCTCTCTACCTCTGATTTTCCCATGTGTAATGTAATGTGCTAACTAATGTTAAAGAGTCCCTCCAAAAACTCTTGGTACAGCTTAAGAGCCACAGTCATTTTTAACCAACGCACAGAAACAATTCAGACCCTTTTTCTCCTACCTCAGAATCCAAACCCAGATTACAGCTATACGCTTTCACTTCAGATTACAAAAGAAAATTTCTTTAAAAACTGTTACATAATACAGAACAGAGCATTTTTCAGTCAGTTTCTGTGTCAAATTTTCGAAAAAAGAAAAATGGATTATTGGTCATCGTCTGTTAGCGTTGATGATGAATTTGAGAAGCTTGTTCTTAGAATGAACCCACCAAGGTAATTTAGTTCTTTGTTTCTTGTTTATGCTATATGTGTGAATAAATTTTATTTTCTGTAAATGGTCAATTCTGTTTCTCTTTTTTGAGACTGTAACTTTTATGACTGAAAGTGGTAAATTTTGAAGAATCTGACAAAAGGTGTGGCTTTTGAATTTTACTTTTGATGTGGGTTATTGTAGGGTAACTGTTGATAATGCATCAAACAAGAAAGCAACTTTGATCAAGGTAATAGAATTTTGAATTTGATTAAAATAAGAAAATTCTAATATATAGGGGGAAAATTTTGGTATGATTATATTTTTTTTTGTGGGATTTTTCAGGTAGATAGTGCAAATAAGAGAGGAAGTTTATTGGAGGTGGTTCAGGTTCTTACTGATCTGAACCTGATAATCAGGAGGGCTTACATTTCTTCAGATGGGGAATGGTTTATGGATGGTAATCAATTTTTTTTCTTAAAAGTTACTTATAATTGATTTTGAGTCTAATTCTTTGATGGTTGATTTTTTCGATTGTCACCTGCAGTTTTCCATGTTACTGATCAACAAGGAAATAAGGTCTCCGAAGATAACATTGCCGAGCGAATTCAGCAGGTATATATCCCAAAATGTTAATAGATTACGCAGTTCTTGCTGATCACAAGAGTGTTTAGAAATTTTTCAAAGGAGCTAATTTCCTAATTTATGATTTGAGAATGGTTTGCATTGATTTTTTGGTAGAAAGTTTAAGGATTCATAATTTCGTCTTATATCAAGTGTATTGTTGGATAGCAAATTCGATTATAATCTGCCACCGATATGTGGAAATGATGAGGTTTAACGTCTTAGTTCATTAATTTTCTTGATTTGTTAACTCATTGAAGTGGTCGGAATTTATTACAAGCACATAAGCTACCGCACTCAAAAGGAAACTACCATATCTGTCAGTATCTGCAGCAGATTATATGGTAGGCCTGTTTGAAATCCATGTAAACAGTATAGTCGAGGTATGATTGATTTTGCACATGGACAGATGTGTAGGATCATTAAATCATCAATAATAAATGAACAGCTAAAGCAATAGGCATCTGTTAAATTCAGATCATCGGTAGCATAATCGATACTAGAAAGTTTATGTCACATTGGACGTGAATAGACTAAAATAAAACAGAATCTGTGGATATTTCTAGTTCATCAAAATTTCCGCACTATCGAAATTGTACTGATGATTAAATTATATTGCAGTCACTGGGGCCAAAGGGGCGGAGCTTTCGGTCTTTGACAAGATCTGTGGGCGTCAAACCTACGGCAGAGCATACGACCATTGAGTTGTCTGGAAGAGACCGACCAGGCTTGATTTCAGAGGTCTTTGCAGTTCTTGCTGACCTCAAGTGTAATGTACTTGCTGCCGAAGTATGGACTCATAACTCTAGAATGGCTTCGGTTGTTTATATAACTGAAGAAGAAAATGGATTGGCAATCAATGATCCTGATCGACTTGCTAAGGTCAAACAACTTCTCCTTTATGTTCTAAAAGGAGATAGAGATAGGCGAAGCGCCAACACTGAAGTTTCTGTCGGTTCTACTCATACCGAGAGGAGGCTGCATCAGATGATGTATGCTGATCGTGATTATGATAATGAGAATATGGATTGTATGATACCTGATCGAAGCAAACCCCTCGTGAATGCAGAAAACTACGCAGATAAAGGCTACACTGTGGTTAACGTGAGCTGTCCAGATCGTCCTAAACTGCTTTTTGACACGGTATGCACATTGACAGATATGCAATATGTTGTGTTCCATGCCACCATCATCGCTGAAGGACCAGAGGCTCATCAGGTATTCTTTAGCATGAAGTTAGTTGCTCGGTTGAACTTAGCACTCATTAACTAGAGTTTTAAAATTTTGGTGTTTAAGTATGTCTTAATTATGGCAGTTTCCTAGCTGGCAAGATTAAGCATTTGCGATAAAACATTATGGCATATGCACTACTAGACAGGACTTGATAGTATAATCAACATGATCTTAGTTTTGTTCTTCTTTAGTACTATACACCACCGTCTAATCCTCCATACCAGACATTCCATAAAATGAATTGCATTTTGGTTGATGGGCTTCAATTTCATGTAGTATGGACCACTATGTTGACCTGATAGAGAAATTATGTTCTTTCCTTTTCTTTTCTTTCCTATGTCAGGAATATTATATAAGGCATGTGGACGGGTGCCCCATTAGTTCTGAGGCGGAGAGACAACGTGTAATCCATTGCTTGGAGGCAGCAATCAAGAGACGAACATCTGAGGTACCGATCTAAAGAAGGTGCACATTTAGTTTCACTATCCACTTCAATTTCAAGTGTATGACACTTGTGTGCATAATGCAGGGAACAAGGCTAGAACTATGTGGTGAAGACAGGATTGGTCTTCTGTCAGATGTAACTCGTGTATTTAGAGAGAATGGTCTTTCAGTTACTCGAGCCGAGGTCACAACCCAGGGTACGCAGGCTGTTAATGTTTTCTATGTTGCTGATGCATCCGGTTGCCCAGTTAAAAGTGAAACAATTGAAGCAGTTCGTAATGAAATAGGCCTAACTATCCTCCATGTGAAGGATGACATGTACTCAATCGCACATACCCCACAGACTGGAAAATTCTCTTTTGGTGATCTTTTCCGCTCAAGGTCAGAGAAATTTCTTTACAATTTAGGCCTAATAAAGTCAAGTTCGTGAGCAGTTATTAGTCGGTTGCGCAACTCAATCTGTAGATAATAGTAATGGTTTAATCACAGACTTAAAATATTTCCAAGATTTAGTCAAAGGCCATTTGATCTTAAAACTCGGTTAATGCCAAAACATGTACATCCTTGATCCTTCTACCTTGCAAATGTTTATTCGAACTGGATGTCAACTATGCTGCATCCTTCGCGTTTAGGAGTTGTTTTAAATATATATCATTGCCCTTGCATTGTGATATCTCTTTGTTCAATTCTTTTTTCTAGGTCACAAATGGTTTAGTACACAGTATTGTACATGATTGAACATAACATAACTAAAAAGGGAAAAGTAGTTCAAATCTTGTTTATTGTACTGTTTAATCATGTCCAATGCTGTGTACATTGTTGAATACATGTTTATTGTACTGTTTAATCATGTTCAACACTGTGTACATTGTCGAAACAAATGGAATTGCATATGATTTCCAAGGTCATTCCTAGAATGCTGGAAATTGACAGCATAGACGGGCAATTCAAGCTGTCTGAATCATGGACCATTATGGGCGATAAAGGCATGGAATTATTAGTATGATAAGATTCAAAAACATTATGATTTGGCCACCACCTAGTATATATTCATGGAATTTTGATACCAATTGTGTTCTTTTGTCATGTTGTTGTCAACTTGTAATGTGGAAATACACAACTTTCTACTTCAATTAAACAGATGCCCCATTCTATCCGTAGAAGCAGTGTTCGAATTTGCTAGGGGCTCAACTGATGGAGACGCGAACCTTAACATGTATTTATTTGCTAACCTATTTTAATTACGTGACGTCTTTGGTGACGATTAAGGGTACCCTAATCAATCATCTTTCAATTAATTAACTGGTATATTTTTTGTCATACCAGACATGAATTTGAGAAAATCAATTATTTCAACCGTTCTATTAATTTAATATTCTCTCTTTCTTATGAATCAGTATACAGTCATAGAATTTGTACTAAATAACGATAGAAAAAATAAAATAAACATGAACATGAACATGAGAAGATAGTAATAATTTAAGGCAACCAATTTCATAAAGAATTAAAAGTGGGATTTTTTTCATAAAAGTAATGTTTTAAAATAATAAATATGATCAAAACTTCTATCTACGGTTAGGAATTTCACCAATTTAATTTCGGTAATATTTTAATTTTTCTTGTGGATAGAGAGCCATCATTAGCATTTTATATATCATTCAAAAGAGAGAGGTTACTAAAAATAGGATGTGCAATTTTCTCTCTTTTGGACTTCTATTTATTATAGTGAATTACTATCTTGACAGAACGGGACGTAGTCTCAGATTAAGGCGAACATATATAAATCTAGCATATTGTTGTGTATCTATTTTCTTTCTACGATGTTATTACTCTCATTGATATAGGATTATGGTTTTTCAATTCTCAACATCTGCATCAATACAACATGGAACTATTTGTCATGTGCAAATTACTGGTGCTAGTGGCTTTATACCAAAAGACCTCAACTTTAGGATTAACTTTATCATTTTAAAATATGGTAACTAACACAAAACGTCTCTACCTTTCAATATTATTGTGTAAAATGTTCATACCTTTTATTTTTTTGACATTTTCGCCTTTATTTTTATCTTTAATTGCGGAAATCACATTTCTCATCCACTTTCTCAATTAAAAATTGTGAAATGACGAATATACTCTTTTATTTAAATAAACAAAAGAAAGGAAAATACTATTATTGTGGAAAATATCCAAACATTTTATTTTTTGGCATTTTCACACTTAATTATACATTTGATTGAGCAAAATGTTATTTTCATCCAATTTTTCAACAAAAAGTTGTAAAATGATGAATATATTTCCGATTTAAATAAAACAAAAAGAAAAGAAAAATAAAGAAATAATTGCAATTATAATCTCAATTTTTTTAAAAAGGTTCAAAAGAGCCCTAAACAAATTTTAAAAAAATTAGAAATTAAAAAAATAAAAATAAATCTCTTTCTCCTCTTTATGGCTCGAGCATCGCAAAATCCAGCACCTGCAGCCCCGATTCCTCAACCAAGTACTACTCCTGCACCACCTCCGACCCAACCGCCATAGAACAATAATTAAATTTGCAGATGGATTCCACAGAACACAGATCAAGAACAGAAGACATCTTCTCCAGTCAATGTAATTCTGTCTACTAATTCATTCCAAAAAACCAGACAATACACGTATTGAATGCCCTGAAAATTTTGCAAAGATTTAAAATTTTTCTCCAAATTCCTCCCAAATTAATAATTCCAGACCTCAAATTCATCCATCCAATTATTAATAATTTAATTATGCATGAAACCTCAAGAGGTGAGGCCCTGATGTGATTGGAAATTTGGAAGAACTTTTGGGACTTGTTAGAGATGTCGAGATCATATGGGAGAGGAGATTAGAGGATTTTGAATTGGAGAAAGCGAACACAGCGGAAGTCGAATCGAAACCTTGAAAAGGAGATTAGAGAAGTTGAATTCAAGAAACGGAACCCTTCAATTTTCTTCCTGGCTATCCACGGTTGTGATTTGTGTGAATATTTAATATAATTCAACCCTTTTTGAGGCACTACGCCCATTGTGGGGGTTGGACTGGAGTTGGTGCAGTAGTAGTTGGCAGAGGAATTGGAGTTGCAGGTGCAGGATTTAGCAAAGCTCGAGCCATAAGAAGGGGAAGAAGAAGTATAATTATTTTTTTCTAATTTTTTAATAATTTATTTGGGATTGGTCTGACCATTTTTATTTTTTTTTTAATTTGGGATTATAATTGCAATTAATTCTTTTTTTTATTTAAATAGAAGGATATTGAGAAATTGGATTAAAAAAAATGTTTTGCGCAATCAAATATATAATGAAGTGTAAAAATGCTAAAAATGAAGGTATATAACTTTTTCACAATAACAGTAAAATCTATGGACATTATGTACTAATTACCTAAAAGAAAAATAAAAAATAAATTGCAATTATGCTCCCAAATTTTCAAAACAGTACAATAAATCCCAAATAAATAATTCAAATTATGAAATTTCTAGGACTTTCTTGAACGCTCTATGCTTGAATTTTCCTTCAATTCTACCCTCTGATGCAAATAATTTGGTTTCTAATCGTTTAGACCGGTTTGAAATCTCTGTCGTACCGAGTTCTCCAAGTGAGGCGCTTTGTATAAATCCTGACACAACTTTGGCCCAGAGCTCTCCTATAAGCATAAACCACTTATCAGTCTCTGGGTAATGACACAAAAAAATAAAAGGTATGGACTTTTTGTGCAAATTACCATTTTAAAATACATAGTTATTTGAGCTCTTCTAGAGCCTCCAATAATGCTCATTACAGTGCCTTCATACTCCCAACTTGGATGCAAATTTTACGCGTGCACGGTATAACATGATTCAAAATAATCATACGAAAGAATGTCTGCAAGCATCACTCAAAAGAAATATCACATAAAAGTAACAACCACAAAATATTTGTGTAATTAAAAGTTTAAATTCACGGTTGTTGTTCACCTAATGAATCTTACATCATATTAATCATCTTATTTAAAACTTTGAGTTATTAGAAACGGGATATAAGTGTCCATTTCGATCTTTCTTCAAGATTTCAATGCTACCGAATTTTAACGAAGTTTCATGTTAGTCACTCAACTTTATATTGTTACAAGTACATCACTCTATCCACTAGAATACCACGTCAGCTCTTCCACGAGCACAAAATTAATAACCAAATCGTAATAAATATTTAACTTCAGTAAATGCAAATACTAATAACCCGATAATTAAATCTTTTAGATCACTTGCTTTCAAAAACCTCAAGAAAGATTGGATTACATGAATCATCGAAACTATAATTGATGTGGAGGGTTGTCAAATTTGACTTTGGTTCGATATCATGAGTGAATATCTCGGTGAGCAAATGACCATTGTTCTAATTTTGTTTTCATCATATGATGTGTGATTATTCTGCCATTTTGTGGTCAGAATTTCCCTTGGTATATGCATCTTATCTCATAAATTTGAAATGGAATTTCCCTTTCATATATGACAATAATGCAAGTGTTTATCTACTCATCCAAGAGTATCTTGCTATTTTGGGTTAAGGATACGAGAACATGTTTTCTATTTAAATGAACCATAGTTTGTGAAATTAGATCGATTCGAGTTGCTTAATAGGATATGTGAACTCTTCAAAAGCCACACAATTGAACTGTTACTGTCATCGAAACGGTAAAAGCAACCTAATTGTTAGAATTGCTTGTCAGAACCTCGAAACCCACTTGCTTAAAAGTCACTAACTTAACAAGATGGAGAGGGAAAAAAATGAACATGATAGAATGCATCAATTATTTGGCTAATTCTCATTTGCAATCACTGAACTTCAATTCACTCAGATAAAAAGTTACTTATTTTAATAAAACTATCATTTTACTAACGAATAAGTAATTGTTTTACTTTAAATTTGATGGTTAATGAATTATTTATTTCAAAAATAACTTATTTTGAAAATAAGTTATTTTTGAAACTTAAAGATGGCGTTTCCAAACATTCATGAACTACAACAAAATACAGAGATGATGATTGCTTAATCAGCAGCCATAATATAATACTAAAAATCTGCTATGATTGCGATCTTAACACAATAATTATGCCGTCATGAAAAGTCCACCACCAAACATAGTTCCACGTGACCCGGCGGCAAGTGGCGGTGGACCACCACGCCACCACATTAGTATCAAACCGACTGTGACGTGTCATCCACGAGTCCATATCAGTATCGTGTACGAATCTGTTGGCAGTACAAGTGGGCTGTCCTCGATTCACAAGTGTGGGCCCAAATTGGGCTGGGTCTTTTTTGATCCACAACGTAGTCACGTGATCAGGATCTTGTAAAATCAAAAATCCTCCTCGAATAACGTGAAAAATTTCCAACCTTAAAACCTGATAGAATCATAGTGTCTTATCAATTATTA